GTAAACTGGCCTCCTCATGTACTGTACTATTGTAACAACAGAAGACAAGGGCCAGGCAACAGAACGTTTATTACAGAAAATCAACACGTATTTATAGATTTTGATGTACATTATTGTAGGTTAATGTTAGTAGAAAATACAGTCTGTTGATTGGTTGTTTCTCACACAAAGTTAACCTTGCATCTCTTGTGGCTGTGTCAGTTCATCTATATGTTAACTGTATCCGCCTGTCCATCTTGACCTTTGACCTCAATTACTGTCAACCAATTTGGCTAGCAACCATCTCTCACCACAACATGACTAATATTTGATACATAAACATTGACCTCAATTACTGTCAACCAATTGGCTAGTAGATAGCTCTCACCACACTATGAGAATAAATTTATTTATTTATTTATTAGATGATTAAGCCTTCTTGCGAAGAAAGCTGTCAGAGCATCTGGACTCGGATATTTTCAGGTTGTTGCCTTTGCTAACGCTTCTTTTACTTGTGCAGTTGCTTGGAATGCCTGCTTTGACAAGTGAAAGTCTTTTGGTTCCCCCATAATACATCAGTCGGGGGCTTCATACATTGTGCACTGCTGGGTACAAAGTAGAGAAAGAAGTATAAGTATAAAACTTGGGCACTGTGGTAGAGTATAATTCCATAATAGATAAGATTTTATTTTGATGAATCACACAGTGTAGTACAGTTATATTAACTGATGACGTTTCGAGCACAAAGTATTGCTCATAATCATATCAAGTTATGAGCAATAGTTTGTGCTCGAAACGTCATCAGTTAATATAACTGTACTACACTGTGTGATTTATCAAAATAAAATCTTATCCATTAGAGAAAGAAGTAGTTTGACCCAAGAAAACTTCGGAGTTGCGTGAGGGAAGTGTGTAGATGACACTCTTTAATTATGTCTTCGGACACTGACGCGATCCTACTGTTATCAGTGACGTGACATATTAACACACCTACGTTGACCGATTGTCATGCTGTGGCTTTGTATTTTGCGCATTGCTGAGAGAATGTGATCTTCACACTTGTCTATGTCCGGGCTGGCGGTGATTAGGTGATTTACGTGTGCTTTGGTGAACCATAACACGTCATCCACATATATTTGGGGAGTCTTTGTAACGTTCCATTTTCCAAATGGCATCCTCGAAGAATGTTTTAGACATGTCTCCTCCAGCCACTGTAATATTGAGCTATGAAGGGCGGGTTGACTTCTGCCTTCCACCCGAAATTCGCTCTCGAGGTCACGCTGCGGCGACATTCTTCACAGAAGTGTAGGAGGAATCTGAACAACGGGCTCCCACAGGGACTGAGCTTATTTGGCGTGGTGGCTGAAATTTCACATATTCCACCAAAACTGTACAACATTAGCACATGGTCAGAAATGTCAGGTGTTTACGGTGATATCAGATCAAGGCCGCTTCAGGTATTTTCGCTCATGCCTATGTTTCAGGCCAGGAAATTTCTTTTTATGGTTCCCTTCACTCACACAACGCTATCGGCAAATTGTATATATCACTGTGTTTCCTATCACAATTACAATTTCGTATACGGTCAAGTATGCCATTCCATTTCACATCATTGTGTGTTCCGGCTTAAGTTGAGCATGCTAGGTGAGACATGTAGCTTTCGTATAATTTTACTGGCGTTATCAAGCAGTATATACGATCAGCATTTTTTTGACCATCCCGGCTTCTCTATATTTTCCCATTTGAATGCTAGCATTATTACGTAACCAGACTGCCTGCTCGCAATACATGTGTTGTCTGGACTGATGAAAACTCTGGCCTTCCTGTCTAGCATACTAGCGTGCGCATCGTGCGATGTAACTGCGGTGCAATTTCCGCAAGTTGGTTGCAAGTGTTTGTGTCTCAGGCGAACTATTTGAAATATCGCCATAGTAATACGGATGAAATAATTGACGGATGATATTACCTACCCAAATAGCCTTCTTTATCCATAGGTTCCTCTTTCTAGCCTAGTATCATATCACAAAACTTCACACCTCTCAAAACTTCTGTACTGACTATTTTCGTGTAAAGTGGGCATCATTTTACAAGGGTATGCTACAGTTACCCAGAAATCACATGCAAAATGCTAACAGGACCACCGAGCGCGCAGAAGTTACAACGTACCTACATTGATTCACCATACGTGTGTACTGACAGAAATTATCGTTAGTCGAAAGATTATCCATATTTTGGTTTATTATATTATTGTACTAGTAGACGTAATGCAATGTGGGTTATGTGAATTCAGTCATTTCTGTGTATAATTTCTGTGAGTGCATGCCTTTGTGAAAATTAATCTAGGATATGAGAACACCTAAATTTATTAATACTTACATAATATGAGAAAACATCGCTCATTTCGAATACAGAGGCCTAAAACTAATTAAATATACTCCATTTCCACAAATATAAACGCTTACAACGACTTCATAGGCATGTACACGATAACATTTACTATGCGCGAAAATAAACCACGATAGCCTTTATCCTCACTCCCTTAACGGGCAACCGATGTATTTAGATTTAGCACATTAACTGTTTGAAATCATTGGTGACAATTATTCCCTAATACGTTTCTGATTACTTTCTGATTTTCGGTTTTCAAAAGTACACCACATATTCATACTATATATTTGATTCATCCTTGTTTTGTCCACACTCCTCCAAAACATATTGATTGTTTTTATCTCAACATTTTTGCTATACTCACCTTCTGAATAATTTTCATAACTTCCCCAACTTCAGCTTAAGTTCTTGATTCTTTAGAATTTGTAAGACCTTTGAAATAACTGTTAATTTCAACGCTAATTGCTCTGCATTCACCAGAATTGCTAATAGATGTATGCATTTTATAGACATCAACAAGGACGATATTGTTTTCTACGTAGATTTCCCTAGGTTAATAAATCATTTTAACTAGCAAAAACAGAAGAACTGAAAATAACAGCTTATGGAACTACAAACATGTTTCTGTGCGCGATTTAAAAAACTTTTATGTGACAGCGTTCTATCAAAAGTTGAAAAGTAAGGAAAAATACAATAAAGCACAAAAGCAGCATATGAAACAGTTATAGTGAAATGACCGAATTGGCCCGGTGTCAGAAGCTTTCAGAGCAGAAGAAACAGATGATTTACACAGCACCGGAAAAATGTCAAAATCAACTTTACTGAATAATCGTGTGTGAGATTAATGGAAGAATACATCAGGAAGGACGAAGTGTGTGGATGAATGGTTAGCAAACAACAATCAAATGTAACCAACCAACACGAATGAAAACCTTGAGATGCTCTTTGCAGCAAACAGCCTCTAGGCTGATAGACAAATTCAGTCAGTGCAGGTCTGTGTAGGGAAGCTCGAAGTTCCTGAATCCACACCTATGGTGTACATGAACTCCAGACTTCCAAATGATAGCATGGGGTATGAACATGTTTCAGTCGCCTGGATCCTTGTGGACGTAGCTTTATACCCTGCTGCACTGTCCTGACGACGAGGCATCAAGTAAGTGCTTAGGGAGTGAGCCACTAAGGCATATAGCTGCTTCAATGCGGGGTCTCGATCAGTATCTCAGCCTTCACATGAACTACAAAACAATCGTTTCCTGGAAGATTGCAATCACCTGACCTCAGCTACAAATGGTAGTCATATTTTAAATCGCGGCGCATCTCGTGACGAAAGCGATTCACAAAGTCTTCGTGTTTTGTAATAATAGTAGTGTTAGCCTTCTCATCATCCGAACGATATTGCTTTACCCTACTCCATTCATTTATCAGCAAATATGTGTGGTCATACATGTACATCAATGTTTACAGGTCAGGGTATACAACGAGCTGCTAGGCAACTGCAATAGCAGATAAAAGGGTTGGTTCAAGTAATGCAGGAGTCAGATGTCCAACATCACTTTTCTCAAATCAGAACATAGAGGCGGGTCTAAGTGTTGAGCTCAGAAGTGAAGATAGATGCACCTTCAAACTGTAGTCATATAAAACGAGTTTTTAGATGGTTATCTAGCTCAAATTGGCCGGTTTCAACCTACTGAACTGAAATAATTTAGAGGCAATTTTAACATCTATTTGGTTGTGCGAAGACGAACCTCAAACAAAACAGAGATAAAAAACAAAGATCAACTGCGAAGTGCTGTTCTGAAGTGATTTGAATGGTTATAGGTTTGATGCCAACTCGTGGTCAAACGAGTAGTGATGTTTAAGTAGAAAAGGGAGATATGATTCCAAAATGTCCATACACGGCCAGAGAAAAACTTCGCCTGAAAAAAGCATTGGTAATCCTAGAAACACCTGTTACTGTCAAATGGGAAGGTTTGAGGTGATTTTTCAAACAGCAGATGCATATCTATCGTATTACGGATAGCTTCGTCGCTAATCCAAAATACTGGGTGATAGGCAGAAATAGTCTGCCAATCACCTCCGCAAATGTCTTTTGCAGCATCACATGCAACGAGTGATCCAGATCCACCTTAGGCATATGCATGTCAGGCCTGCTGTGTACTTCAGCTGCAGAGAATATTCATGGTCTATGTATTTTCCCTCCTGTAAATATTGGTGACCACAGTGTGTTACTGTCTAACACTATAGTCCAGTCAGACTCCAAATCCATCCTTGTTCAGTGTCTGACGTTCAAATGCCATAGGTTCTGGCAAAACTGATTCTTTAGTCTAGAATTGGTGGTTGTAGTGATCGGTCAGTTGATCCTTTAGAGGACTTATGAGCCTGTCGAATTGTCGGTTTTAAATGGAAATGTATGGGTAACTCAGGTGGATGGCTGTTTAGCTTGGCTGACTCACGCTGGTTAACAAGGCTGTCAAAAATGGCATCCACTTAGCGATTAAAGAGCGTAATGCTAATGCCCAGACACGAATGTATTTGGGTAAGACGGTAAGAAGATAGAGGCTTTCATAAAGCAATAAACACCTATGTCACAATATGACCTCCATTTCTGTCTCTTGTAGAACCCATCTCTCATCATGTGTTTTGCTAAAAATACCGGAATAGAGATTAAAAATGTGACTAATACAGAGGAAACATCTGAAGCTCACTTGTGTTTGTAAGTTTCTTCATCCCCCGCACCACTCCTCTTGGAGTCTACCAGAGCTAAAGCAGTCGAGTGGCGGGACTTACTACGCAAACGTTCGCCGAAGACCTGGAACCCCTACCTTACAATCAAGAAGCGAGCTCAAAGGAATCACTGGTTTATACTAGGTCGTGATCAGGATATTGGATATTGGATCCCCCAACCCAAAAATAGACTAAATTCAGGATTAAACATGAAATGGTTTCATTCTAATTCAAACCTGAATAATTACAAGTAAGCAAATATGGATAATATGACACGGTAGATAGTTTCAACGATGCCTGTTGGCTCAAATTGTCTCTTTGTCAGAGAAAAATATGGCTTCGCCTTAGCTCACTCATGTTTGATGACTCATTTTTGGCAAGCTAAAGTTTAGCTCGAGCATCTGTTGCTAATATATTTATTTTTTTATTTTGATTTACAGCTTGATTCCACACCGTATTTTCAGTACAAGTGTGGAATTTTCAGCATGGATATTGGTAGCCCAAATTCAGGCCGACCATAGATATCGGGTGTGCGCCGGCAGGGGATCGGACCCCGGACCATGTGCATGGTCGGCGAGAGTCCTAATCACTGTGCCACTCCTAGTCAAGAAATGTTTCTAATAAATCATCCAATTCACAAGTATAGTTAGTTAGTCGAGTCGAGACTTTCTCAGGGTTAGAAGGCAAAGAGAAAGAGGGCTGATAATGGAGTGACTTTAACCGGTAGTCTCAGAACTACAAGAGCATGCAGAGTAGCAACTTCAGTGTGTTCGAGATCAATATAAGTAGTCTAGAGGTTCATTGAGAGTCTTGGCGCCATTTTATATCCAGCATTTATCAAAATTTAGAACACGTGGCCTAAAAACATTGCTTATGTTTCAGATATGATTCGGAGGTATTGAAAATAATGTGAAGAGTGGGGCTAAAGTGATTCATTTCTTTTCGGTTCAAATAGATCCACTTGACGGAATATCAGGGCCAAACTCAATAGGAATCAGAACGATAAGACTGGACAAAATGTCAACTGTCGTTAGAATCCTCGGATTGAAATTAGGAGAGCGTCCAAATCAAAAGCGCGATCTTTATACTTATACGTTACGTTCTAGCGTGTTCAAAGACAGTTTTGTATAATTTAACCAGATTTTATTCAGGTATGTTATTCAACCCGTAGCTTTACAACTACTATTTTGTGTTGATGTTTGGATTTTCCTGTCGAGTAACTATTCACTTCATTACGAGAAGTGGCACCCCAAATCAGGCTGTGAATGTCTTGATTATCGCATAATTGTCCCGAGAACGTTTCTAACGTCGACAAATAGTCTGAGAATTCGCTTTTCAGTATCTCCAACTAAAATTGTTATTTCAAATACGAATTTTTGAGTGGGTGTACCTATTGGAAGTAGTCACTTTGAAAAGTGAATTAATGCATTCCCTACACCGATACATCACCCTTCTTCTTTTTATATGAAAGTCAAAGCGACATCCTAAGGTCCATTTTTATAGTCAATAGTTGCTTATATTCCCTTACTCAGGTGGGAAGGAAACATTAAAAAATTTAAAAGTTCAAATTTGTTGATATGTTCTCTTTAAATTTGTTTCTGATTGTAAGTATTTGTACCTGATCAAAATCTTTTCTAAAGTAAGGTTGCTTATTCACTAAGTAATATCCACAGATAAAGACTCAGTAGAAGATCATTCATCCATAAATAACATATATATATGCGTCATATTCCAAGATGTCTAACGGATATTCGGCAAAGATATGAAGCGTGTGTTGATAATGCCGCTTAAGCAGCTAGTTAAGAGACGAATGCACACAGAATGACTCATGAATATAGTAAGGTTCGGATTTATATATCACTGGTATATATATACATATATATAACACTTAGTTTGATTTTCAGAGATGAAACAAAAGAAAATAGCAAAGAGACACAGGCTGGGTCTGAAGAAAACGCATCGCAAAGTTATAAATACTGTAAGTCATGTATTTTATAATTTGGTAGCGTTCTGAGTCCCTTAAGAATGATTTGCTTCGCTATGGCAAGGTTGGCGGATTGTTTGATCGACGTCTTGGCAGCCATAATACAAAGCTGTCAGAATCTGAGAAGTTATTGCAAAGACAGATTGTGGAAAAGCTGGTAATGGTGAACTAGTTATTCATTCTAAATATAGAGACAACTTGATAATGTATCGTTGGAAAGCATTGACGACCAAGATCCTCTTTTCAAAGCTGCGTATGATACCAGTATACCAGGAAGGAAACTATGCACTGCAGACGATGTTGAGGGTGGGATTGAAGGTCAGATTGTCGATGACGTTTTCTTCACGGACGGATCCAGTTCTAATACGCCTGGCTATGACTTCAAAAGCTCCCTCTCTGAGAAGATTGCGGTTACAAAGCTTGAAAGGTTAAAGCGTGTCGAAGAAAACGAAGAACAACGTGAACGACTAAAAACGGTCAACGAGGACTGGAATAAAAACATCCGTTTCCTTTTAAGCAAAGTTCACTCTCTTGGAAAGGTAAGTTGCTTACATGATTACGAAATTTCTCTCTAAGGGTTCTACATTACAACCTAAGCAAAGTAACAGTGCAAATGTTTCGCGCCTATTAGAAATGTTGACTACTGATAAAAAGGTCGTGCCTATCGGTTTCGTTCCGCGTGCGCACAGTCTCCAAGAGCAACTTTCTAAGTTTCAAGATATGGTGGACTCTCGAAGGATGAGGTAAATTTATCGTTTAGGGCGATTTCCAGTTTATTTTTGGCTAGTTTCATGTTTTAAAGTCATCCCTTTATGTATCTATTCGCGCTTATTTAATGTAATTACCTATTTAAATCCAAGATACAGAATGTGACTTTGATCTCATGCACTATTATATTGGCTTCAACTCAGGAAAGAGTTCTTAAAATGAATTCTGTGGCCGCATAATTAGCTAGGAAAAACTGATAGAAATCGATGGATTTAGTGACGGATTATCTTCACTGTCAGTTGCCTTTTGGCTGGTTTAGTTTCATATGTGTATGTAGTTTATTATCCGAATAAACTGGGAGAATTTTTTTTTCTTGTTACCTTGATTAGACGTTTCTTAAGGTAAGCTTGAGATCAAGAATTTGTGAAACACCAATCAGTTAAAAGGTGTCAGAGCAAACCATCAAGTTAAATTAAGTATGCAAGTCGTTCATATACATTTCAGTTAGTCTTTAATTAACTGAAATGCCAGATAAACTCAATTATTGATATTTTTACTTGATTTCTCATTAGTCAGATTAACACGCTTCTGAAAAGCATACACATTGAGAAAAATCATTTAGTGGATAAATGTGGATGTGAGTAAGAGGATAATTTTCTAGTGACGATGTTAAAAGTTGGAATATGATAACGAGCGAATACATCTGGGTCACCGTATAATTTCGATTCATGCCACTAAGCTTCTGCAACAATCAATTTTTAGTATCCCCATAGTTTTATTTAAACCGTTTTCAGCTGCCGACATGCTTTACAGCAATAGATGGTGACTTCCTGGATTGTACTGTTTTAATCTAAATATTCATAATTCTTTTCCGACGTGATTCCACTTAAACTAATATTATTGACAAGAGTATGTCTCTACCCGCCTAACAAGTGTTACTGCAGTCACCTCAGTCAATGAACATTTGGAAGTGCTTTAATTTATCTGCCTATGTGAAAATTTTGTTTACTTTCATTACTACTTTCGATTTCTCTCCATTTATCGGGAGTAATTTTAATATTACTTTCAACTTACGAGGATTCGTAAAAGAAACAGTAGTTATAAATGTTTTACCACTTGAAGATAAATATCTCCGTTGTTTGGTTTTCACTATACGTTTCCACAAATGTGGTGTAAACCAACAATTAACTTTACAACCATCAATTCATTTTAATATTAGTTTATTTTTTAATAGTAGACAAAGTATGCAGACACAGAACGATGATTTCCGAGTTCATTTTAATTCACCTTATAACAGTAATAATCACATTGTGCATTAGTCTATAGTGCTCTTTTTGTTTTTAATATTTCTGTCTTGTAGTATCAAAAGTCAGGAACATGCACTTGAAAAGACATCAGTAAGTTCTTAAGGTAATGTTGAATTTGTATATACTAGTTGTTGTTTCATTACATCGAATTGTATTGCATCTGAGTTTTGTTTTAAGGTGCAAAAAAGATGTTTACTAATTTTCTGCTGCAAATCATTATGGATTTTTTCAGGTTAGTACTCTTCCTGTTTTGCTCGCACTACCGAAAGAAAAGCTACCTGCCATCACTTACATATCTAACCAGCTTCGGACAGCTAAATACGGACGTTTGAAAGATGTTGTTCGCTACCTTTTTCTAGCTCAGTTAGCAGTGCAGTATTGTAAGAATGAATTAAAGAGCCAGCAGGATGACGAAATGTCTGCAGCGATTACAGGAAATGTCATCTTTTGTCCCGAAATTATTTATGCGCTGACTCAAATGTTTCAACTTACTTTTGCTGGCTCAAACCCAAAAAACATTTTAGTGTTGAAAAAATCAATGGCTGCTGTTGAATCGTAAGTAACCATTATTTTTCGCCTTTCTCTTAACAATCTTAGGCAAAGTTTATATCCATAGTCAGCTCTTTCTTTTTTAATTAGGTACTATTGAACTCTCACTAATCATCCCACATTTTCTGGGAGTTTCCAGTTTGTGTTTTAAGGTGATCAATGATAGTCAGTGTTGCTGGCCCTTCTAGTAGGGCTGAATACTTAACTGATTCTGAATTGTTGTTTTGGTCGTCGATTCCTGTTAGATATATTTCAGAATAAGTGACAAAGTTTCGAAGCCTGGAAATGAAGTAGCGCAAATGAGGAAAACATTTGGGGAAAAAGTCGGTAGTTGTTATTCAGCAAACTTCTCCAGGTTTAGAAGAAAGTGTGACATGGTTCCATCTGCCTCACTATCACTAAATTCGGCGGAGTTCCCAACCCTTTGAGAAATATGTCTTCTGCAATTCAGTAAGACGGCATATCTTAGTTAAAGTAAAGGATAATTAAAATTCTGCTACTGTTTCTAAACACTTGACTTTCTTTCGACCTGATTATACCCACAAGTTAAAGTAAATTATGTAATATGTCTTTCTCAGTTGATTCAGAGCTTCAGTATAATTTTATTGAGTGATTCACCCCGAACTTTTGAGTCAATTTCACTGTTATATAGACAAAGCTGTTCACCTTTTTTTGGTGATGTTGCACAAGATGTGGTTGCCAGGTACATTTTTTGGATATCAAATTAGAAATTTTGTTCTTGATTTTAAGTTAAAATAACGGCCGAACGAAGCAAAGTTTTAGAAATACTTGTGTTTTATTTTTCTTCACTAATTTCTAACCATCGTCCCAATGATGAGTGTATCTTCTATAGTAGGATTTCAATATCCGCATGTCTTAATTGAGTACTGGAGATGGAATGGAATGTGTTTTAACAAAATTACAGAATAGGATTCTGAAGATACCAGGATATTTTCCACATAGGTTTTTTTCTTTCCATTTATTCACTGAAGTTCCATGGTAGTATTGTAACAACAGAAGGCAAGACACAGAAACCATGGTATATTTTCAAGTGATCAAACTACTATTTATATCTATACAGTTTTATATTCTCTAACCGGTCATTGAGCGTGTGATTTTGGCTTACATTAAACGACATGAAATAGAATGTTCAAATACATATTATTCTGTCACTAACGCAGTATTGAACTATGGGAATGTGAGAATAATATTCCGTTGAAACATATTGTCTGTATTACACCACCACAGTATGACTATATCAATATGCAGTATTCCTTTTCAAAGTACCATCTATCAGTATGTTGGTAATACCTACAAATAGATAATATCACGTGTTTGTTTTTCCAATTCGTTCCGCTAGTACCCAGATCACTGTTGGGAGAGATCCTGTCAAGTAAATCCATTTCCTATTTATTTTCATACTATCTATGCGTTATACAAATATAGAATTCGCGTAGTGTTATGATTATGAGAAATAATTTATGCTCAAAAAGTCATCCATTTATTACTACTCTAACCGTGCTTTATATCAAATAAATAACTTGTCACCAACTGGCTATCTGATTATTGAACTGGACTGGGTTGGTTCTGTTTGTTTAATCCATGGCACTGATTTATGCTGTGGATGATTAATGGCTGTACAAGGGAGAGTATTACGTACAAAAGTGCTCACCAAACTGATACTGGGATGTGGAGAAACTGTGTGTATATATTACTAATTCTTCTGATAGTTAACAAATCGCAAAATAACGAAGTTTGGGTAGCTATAAATATCAACTTAAACACCTTACTCGTGGATCACTGTCAACTTCTTATAAATGCGATTGGTTGTATGGTAACATCTTTTCATTATTTCAGTTATTTAACGTAACAAGAAGTCAGTCAAAGATATTGTTAAAGGTCACTGGGTAGCCGGTAAATTTTCTCCAGTAGATAAAAGGTTAAACTTTTGTTCTGCATAGCACCTGTTCGCAATCAGTAGCTACCCATTTCACCGGGTATGTAAAGGATAAATCTTGCTGATACCCAACACTGACTTCGAAGAAATTGTCACATCTATACCACTCATGACTATCTTCGAAAATGACTTGTCGACGTCACGAAATGCTAGAGTCAGATTTAGTTAAACGTAATGTTTTCTGGGACAGTGAGTTTTTTTGCTAAGAGATCATATGTCTTTGGTCCTGCAATATTAAGAATAACTCTTTCATACAAAAATTTTCATTAAATATGTGATGAGAGCTGTCTGCAAGCCAAAATTGTTGACAGCAATTTACGTGAATGTTTCGTCCCGAATCAAGGTCACGATAAAAAAACGATATCAAAACTTAACCTTGAGAGACGCATCAGCCAATCACAGAAGACTTAATCTGTGCAAATACGATTCGCAGATATATGGCTTAACTTTCTGAGAAACTGTCACAAGCAGTACAGGATAGCCTTCAGCAAGAAAACAACCAATCAGAAGACGTTACTTCTCCATTGACAATAATGTACATAAAAATCTCTTGATTTTCTTAATAGACGATCTGTTGTCTGGCTCTTGCCTTCTGTCGTTACATTTGGTGTCATTGCTAAGATGTAACGACAGAAGACAAGGGTCAGACAACAGATCGTTTATAAGGAAATTAAGAGATTTTTATAGATTTTTATGTACATTATTGTCAATGGAGAAGTAACGTCTTCTGATTGGTTGTTTTCTTGCTGAAGGCTATCCTGTACTGCTTGTGACAGTTTCTCAGAAAGTTAAGCCATATATCTGCGAATCGTATTTGCACAGATTAAGTCTTCTGTGATTGGCTGATGCGTCTCTCAAGGTTAAGTTTTGATATTGTTTTGTCTCGTGACCCTGATTCGGGACGAAACATTCACGTAAATTGCTGTCAACAATTTTGGCTTGCAGACAGCTCCCATCATATATATGCACAAATTAAACAAGTTAAGAATGTCAATCCCACTTGAATTCTGAGAGACCAATTTTTGAAAAGGAAAAATACAATTATGTGAAGAGCGATCCTGGAATGTATCATTAGGAATTTTATACGAAAGCTGAATAAAGGATATTTTAATTGAGTTAACCTTTTAGTTGAAACTGTTTATTTGTAAACCTGATCAGCTTCTAAAATTTAGGAATTTTGTTTTCAAAACAGTCGATGTTTTTACTGATTTTTCTCTTATTACATATACTCTTAAGTGAAGCTCCATCGATGAATTTATAAAATTGTTCTGATCTCCATGTTTTAACAGTAAATTTGAATTTCATTTTTCAGATGTGAATCGTTCAATCTCAGCACTCAGTTATTAGATCCTTCTACTAAACTGTCTCCTGAAGATATTCCCGTTGTTCGTTTGGCCTGTATCTATAAAATAATTCTCCTAAGTTCTGAAGTTTTTAATATGTATGACAGTGTTTTGCCGAAATGCGTTGTGGTGAACTTGTTCCGTCCTTTGAAAAAGGCTCTGATAGAAAGCAACTTATTATTTTATCCTGCTTCCATAGTAAACGAAATAAAAAAGATTACTGAGGCTATAGCAGTGTGTGAAAGTGCCCCTACACCTAATCGTTTGGTAATGAACTCTCGCCTCAACGTTTTAAAAAATTCAAAACCAGCAGGTTCTAAGATCCTGAAACAGTTGGGTTTAGTCCCTCAATTGGAACCTGATTTTGATGAACGGTAAGTTGTGTTCTTGATATATTTGTAACAAGTTCATCTGTGTGCCGAGTGTATATTTTTAAGTGACACTAATTAGTGTGAACGGTGACACAAAATCCGGGATATTGTCATTAATTATGTTACTGATGGTGAGCAGAATAACATTTATCTTCATTCCTGTATGCATGGAATAGGCAAATAGATGTGAATTCAGATAAATCTGTAGTGGTAATGTAATAATAGTTGCAAAAGTTTGTGTGTAGGTATCCTTAATCATGAAGTATACACGTTTTGTGATGTTAAATGATCGATTGATTGGTAGCGTTCGATATTAGGTAATGTCTGAAATCAGTTAGGTCGATGTAAATCATTGATTATCCCAGTTTTTAAGAGGTGAAACAAGTCTTCCTGTGACAATCATAAGGGAACAAGCTTAACAAATATAGTTCGAAGTTTAAAATTAATGCGTCTATTAGGCGGTGCTTGTGATCCGACCGACAACTGCTACCTTGACGTGGTGGTCGGGCTTACATATTGCAACAACTCAAAAAGGCCACACTGGCTGTAACTAACTTTCAGGTCCTATCATGCCAGAAAGGTTGTTAGAATAGCGATTAGACTAAAAGCAGTTAGTGATATAGTTTTTTATTTTATTTTTTATTTTGATTTACAGCTTGATTCCACACCGTATTTTCATTACAAGTGTGGAATTTTCAGCATGGATATCGGTAGCCCAAATTCAGGCCGACCATAGATATCGGGTGTGCGCCGGCCGGGTATCGAACCCCGGACCATGTGCATGGTCAGCGAGCGTCCTAACCACTATTCTGGGGGTCTGTGGGCATAGTCGTACTGCTGGAGAACAGGAATGTAACAACAGTAAGGTGTTTGCCTCAGATAACCAGCATGCCAGCCATGCTGTCTCTTCATTCTGAAGAGAGGGGGTTAGAAGAGGTCGATCCCAAGAATTGTACATTTTGACTTACTCTTCGGCGGTTCGTAGTTGGCAGTAAGTTACTAATAGGGAAACAACCCTAAAATCCAATTCTAACAGGCCGTGTGTGACTGGCCTGAAGCCTGGGCTCTGCGGTCACGCAAAAATAATTCTTTTTCTGTCTCAGGTACCCCAAGAAAAAATCAGTTTCTACGGTGTGGGAAGCCGGGAAGTAACAAAAGCACACGAGACTCTCCTGATCATCACCCACCTTTATCTGTTTCACCATCATTTCGTTTCCCTTCTACTTCTAATACTATTCCACAGGCAGGTCTTCCATATTTTCACTCTGTCCAGTAATGTCGTCGAGAGCCTAAAAACACTACGGATAGTCCGTCAAAGCCACGTCGCCAACTTCTTATTGGAGCAGTCAACGTCAGGCCCCTTTGCAAATCGAACGGCAAGCATCACTAACCAGAACTCTGGCGTCTCGAGAATGCTGTGTTCCGGAGACAAAATTCAAATGTAGTTATTCACTTAACCCCACCTAGCCAACAGGGTGAATCTGCGAAATTCGTCTTACGTGTACCAGAAGGTTCTTCAGCTAGTTCACGAAGACTCTGAGGTGTAAGGATAACATTGAGTGCTAGGGAAGAAAAATCCGTACTGGACTGAATCCCAGTGGATAGTCGTATATGTGCTGTCTGTCTGAATAGATCTGTAAGAAGGAAAGACTGTGTAACCTGTCGATATCTTTTCTTAATCTCTGCTTACACTCCAACCAACCTCAATTCGGACGTAAATAAAGTAGGAATCTTATCAAAAACTGTCTAGTTTCCTGCGAAATGCAATCGCTCGGATGTATTCGTTTTATCAGGCGACTTCAATGCCCAAGTAGGGTAGTTTTGCCAATCTGAGAAGTATTTTGGCGGCACTTGCGAATTTCCCTGCCGACGAAACGACAACAGTGATCGTCTTCTACAATTCTGTTCAGAGAACATTTGTCAAGTCACGTTATATCTGTTATAGACGTGATATCGATATTGTCGATCAAAGGATGTGTGTATTGCACTGCTGTCCTCTCTGTCCCTCTTTATGGCTGAGATATGGCCATTGAAAACTGAAAACCTGAGGAAGCTACCACCATGGATGTTCCCGGTGTATCTTCCGTGTCAAACAGTATACTAGAGTGAACAAAATTGCTGTTAGGTGTAGAGTGTTGGGTAAAGAAAATAAGTCAATTGATGAGGCTGTGAAGCTACATCGACTGAGATGGCTAGGACACGTGCTACCCATGCTGAGCCATCGCCTTCCTCGATGGGGAATGTTAAGTGACACAGGATTAGGTTGGAAATGAGTTACGGGCAGTCATACGAAAACCTGGCATCAGTCCATGAAATATTTGACAGTTGGTTTTAACCAGCCGCATAGAGACGTGTAGACTGTCTGGTTTGGGTCCTCGAGATCCTACGAACCAACACCTTGGGACTATCGGTGATATGGCTCAAAACCGACTTTAGTGTATTCTCTCTTTGTAACCTCCAAGATCCATCAAGTTATCATGTTTCTCCATGTTACCATTCTTTCATTCTCTCTCTCATATTTCCACTAACTTTAGTTCTTTTGATTGTTTTCTCTATTCTGTGTGCTGAATAGATTTGCAGCACTTCTATGCAAAGTTCTACTTTGAAACTCAGTCATCCAGTCAGTAGTGTTCGATGGTTGTTGAATAAAATTGTTTTGAGTAAAGACAACCAGGAGTGTTGTATAGCTTAATCAATCATACATACACATATGTGACGTAAAATATGTTGGCAGATATACTTTGAATTGATTGTTTGACTAACTAGTAGTTTCATTACTTTCACATAACCAATAGCACATTTTTGATGTATATCATATTAAATATTGTATCGGATGAGTGTATCGTTTTTAGAATGGATGAGTAGACGGTACAACTTCTCAGAATGTATGTACTCCATTGATCAAAGTTGACTTAAACTGTGAAACCAAATTCACAGTTTGCAACCTACACATTTCAAGCGGTGAAATTTCGTGGTAGTTCCCTTTGGAAACCAAATTAGTCAGATCACAATATGTGGTGTGCTTGATAATATAAATGGTGGTCAAAAAAAGCAAGCATATCTGTATAAAACTATATACTACTACTGATTGATTAAGATGATTGGTTGCACACCACTCATACCAGCCAGTAGTGTTTCCAAGCCAGATCAAGGTGGTCTAAACACTGGACGGCCGCTTATCTCGTTTGGGGCCGAGCTCATCAGTGGTATGTGATGTTTGACTCAGTTCAGAGAGTCCAATCAATTCCAAAGGAAACTGCAGTGAAATTTCACCACTAGAACTGTGTAAATTGCAAATTGTGAATTTTATTTATGGTATCGCCAGTGTACGACCAAGTTGCTAGCCAGAAATAGGGTGGTTTGAACTGAATCGGCTTACTGAGCTCAGCGAAATCGGGTGGTACGCTGTTGATGAGCCCAGCCCCAAACTTCCAGTATTTAGATCACCTCGACCTGGCTAGCAAGCACGACTGGTTAGTATGAGTGGTGTGCAACCACTCATCCATGTCGATCATTAGTATTCAGTTTTCTGCGAAACTGTGGAACATCTGCTTTCGACCACTTGTTTACAGTTTGACAATAACGTTCCTATACAGAATTCACGTTGCATGAGTGTGTGTGTGCGTGATCCACTGTTCTTTTCTTGTTGTGAAGCGTATAAGCTGCAAAGACAGTACTATGATGAAAGTTGAAGAAAACTCTGATCAGAATAGCACCATAGTATATTCCACTTGTTAACTTCTGATATCGTGTCAGCTAAACAGACTATTGATTTCTCGGTGTTATTTATGACATCTCATCATTATTCTTTTTCTTTATTGTTTGCAGTTTGTTCACCTCTCGACGAAGTAATGTAAGCACAAAACAAATGTTACAAAAACAAGTTGCGAAAGAGAAGCGTTGTGCAATGCGTGCCGTTCGTCAAGATAGTCAATTTTTGGCTTCTCACCAATTGCAGCTTACGAAAAAGAGGTAGTTTTCTTGTTTGTTTGTTTGTTTTTTAATGAACTTTTAATGAATAATGCATTCATTTGTTTCTATGTAGAGTTTTTTTGTAGATAGGATTTTTTATGCACTTGGTGTGTTTGTAGAACGTTGGCCTATTCATCCTTATGTTATTTTTGTTATTTGGTCAGCATTTTCAGTGTTAATGTCTAAGCAAACGTATAAAAGACAATGTGTAGGGTATTCACTTCAAAATTTTCAGCTTTAGTAGTATTGAGGGTCAATCCACCGGATTTAATGAATTGAATTTTGTGTCTGTAAGCCCAAGTCAGTTGTATTTTACAGTTTGACGTAATTTACTCTCTATTTTACATGTGAACTTGGATATTAAAACAAAACGACAGTGAAAAACATTTTTGTGTCGCTCAGCTTAGTAAATACATCGCATATGTTATCGATAGATTTCTACGATTGTACTTTGCATTAGGTGTTAGGTGCATCCAGTAGTAGAGTTTTCTTACTCAGAAGATTAATGATATGCAATATTCGTGAATTTGATTTCGATAAACTGACTTCATTTGTGTATCCAGTGTATTATTCTTTTCAGTATTTTGTTTTATGAATATTTCCTGGTACTAGATAAGCAACTTATTTCTTCAACTTCTATGTCTGCCAACTCTGTCAACTTTTGGTATTTTTGTGGCTACAGAAGAGTCTGTCGCTTTATGTTGAAAGTATTAGTATTGCAGAAATCCTGTATTCTGTGTACCTTTATTGAATATATTTCCTAAGAGAATATTTCCCCACTTCATGAAGTTTAGAAGATTTCACTGTCATATATAAATGTGTATTGCATATGCTTTTACCGTGATCATATGTAGCTGCCTTTTAAGTATGTGTAGCACTCCGTTCATTTAGTGTTGTACAATTTCAAACAGCGATTTACTCATGTATGTGACTTACTGTTCGGCTTTTAAAATAAAACTAATAAGGTAGATGGAAATAAGGGTATATGACGAAAGGGCATATTCCCTCGAATGACTCATTTTTCTATTTCGCTTTTACGAAATCTTGAAAGCAATTCGGAATGTCGCCAACGTAATCTTATGTATAAAATACTCAGAACTTCTAGAGTATGTTGGGTATTAAAGGGTCATCCAACTCCTAAAAACTTTATATTTTAAACTACATTAATAGCATTAAGCGGAGGTTGCAGGATTTTCCTCTCACTGTTGCTAGCAGTATTATGCGTTGAAAGTATTTTTTTCCCCAATGAAATCCTTGGAAAATGCATTAAGCTTTCCACACTAGAAGCATTTTTAAATACTGTAAATATTTATAGTGATTTGTTATATCCTATTTTTAAACTTATCTACTACTCATATAAATTTATTTTCTTCTTTTTTACTTCAGTGACTCTATTCGTGAAAAGAAAACGAAAGCTATTTTGAATTCACTTCGTTCAGTTGAAGACTGATGAATCAGATTGTGTATGTACATTATCGTTTCTGAAGTTAATAAAATCAACATGTACATAATTCTATTACCTAGGTTTTATAAAATATTGTGTGCCACTAGTCACAGGAAAGTGACTAATATCGTGCTTTCTAATCTTATAATCGGTCTAAATACCATAATTTGATTTGGTGACTTGACAAAGAAGCTAACAGATTCCCTTGTGGACTGTTTTGGTAAGTGTCACATGGCTAGCATTAAATCTAACTAACTTAAGACGTTCTGTATTCACTGCCACTTGTCAATAAAATGTTTCTGTAGCGTTAAGGAAAGTAATTCCGCTCCCGTCAACTGCTTTGGTTATAACTGATAACTATCATTTGGCTAGTCAATCCCTTAATTCCAGTCGCCCGAAAGTCAGTCCAGACAAAAATAAATCAAACACGTAGACTTTTTTGAGCATTGGATTACGTGGCCTCTATAGTGCTCCTACTTTCAGGATCACATTTAGCATGGCTGAAAAATAGTAAAAAAGCCATTTAACGTAGTTTATGAGCGATCTCGTATTGTCTGTCTCAAAACACCAAAGTATAATAGATTGTCTTAGGGTATCGTAAGTCACTCTCCCCTTTTTTAGTGGGATAGTCACTCAGTGACTGTAAGCGAGAATTCATATTCATCCTAACATTAGCAGAATTTTAAAACTGCAACTCTTATCATAATTCATTTAAATGAAATATCAACAAGCTGTGAACTGACTGACATCAATTCCGAAAGACAAGGAAGCACATCTCCTCCCGAAAGTATACTGTCTGTCTGTCTGTCTGGGTTCAACATAGAACTTGGCACCGAAGTGCAGCAGTTCGAGTTGCCACGTTCCAAATAGCACACAAAGGTAGACAAGAAAATGAGTGAAGAGAATCAATAGAGTTTTGACAAGTATAAGAGTGAAACAGAATGAGTAATGGTAGAAAGGAATATGAAGGTTAAAGAGACTGAATACATCTGCGCCATTGACAACGATTTTGAGCCATGTCACCTATTGTCTCCAGCCAGTGATTCTTAGAGTCCCGAGGGCCCCAACCTGGAAGTCTGCATCTCCCTACCTGACTCAGTTTAACTGTCAAGGATTTCATGGACTGATGCCATGTTTTTGTTTGGCCACCACTTACTCTTTTCCAACCTGAACCTATATCAGCTAGTAATGCCCGTCGGGGGAGACGATGGTTAGGCATGTGCAGCACGTGACCTAGCCATCTCAATCTATGTAACTTCATAGCCTCTTCGAGTGATTTTCCCTCTTTGCCCAACACTCTACGCCTAACGTCAACATTACTTACCTTATTATACCTAACGCGAGAAAGAGATCGTAAACATCTGTGGTCAAAAACAGACAATCTCTTCATGTCTTCCGCTCTCAATGGCCATGTCTCACCGCCATAGAGAAGGACGGAGCGAACTGCTGAGCAGTATACACGTCCCTTGGTTGACAGTCGGATGTCACGCCTACGCCAGAGACGGTGTAAGTTAGCGAAAGCAGCCCTAGCTTTCTGGATCCGTGCTGTGATTTCGTCACCAATCAATCCGTTGGTGCTGATACAACTTCCTAAATAGGTGAAGTGGTCAACATGTTCTATCACTTCACTCCCTATCACTAAGCTAGGAGTTGACGTAGTTCAGTCCTGTAGCAGCATCTTACATTTCACAGGGGCGAATCGCATGCCAAACATACGAAGATTGCTGCTCAAGGTGTTCAGAAGACTCTGCATTTTGTCAGCGTCCTCCCCTGACAGGACTATGTCGTCTGCGTATTCTAAGTCTATAAGACTATTCCCTGGTAACAAGTCGATTCCTAAGTCGTTAAGTTCAGTTAAAGATACTTCCATTAGCATATCTATGATGAAGTTAAACAGAAAAGGGGAAAGTGGACATCCTTGACGGACACCACTGGTTGTTATCAATTCAGATGACAATTCCCCAAAAGCCCTTACACGGCTACGTGAGTTTGAGTAGAGAGCCTTGATTAGTGCAATGTACTTTCTTGGCATTCCCTTCACAGTCAAACATTGCCATAGTACATTTCGATCCACGGAGTCGAAGGCCGCCTTCAAGTCAAGAAATATGGCAATTGTTGGACGCCTAAAAGTGTGTCTATGTTCTAGGATCTGTCGGAGAGTGAAGATATGATCTATGCACCCTCTACCTGGCCTAAAGCCCGCTTGATTTTCCCTCGTTTGTTCCTCCCGAGTTCGGCTTAGTCTGTTCATGATTACTGAGCCTAGGATTTTAGAGACTATGTTCGTTAGGCTGATTCCTCTATGATTATCACATGAGGACTTGTCTCCCTTCTTGAATACTGGTATGATAAGTGACTCACCCCAGTCTGATGGAACCGTCTCTGATTCCCAGACGTTACCTAGTACCTTAGTTAAACTATATACTAGTATGTCACCCCCATATTTAAACACCTCCGGAATAATTCCGTCGGGTCCTGCCGCTTTGCCTCGTTTCAACTTACAGATAGCTTTTGTGACCTCACTTACAGACGGCGGGTCAGTGTCTATGTCCGAAATTTCTCATCTCCTAAGACGCATTATAAGTCACTACTCAAAAATCCTACTCAACAAATCTTGACATCATCAGAAACAAGCCCTAGAAACTATCCCAATATCTTCAGCAACCACAAACACCAACAACTTACAGAAACATTCATATACAGCAGACACGTAACTGTCAGCAAACATGAACACTTAGCCCCCGTAAATTTATCTCCTCAATTCCACCGGTGGTGCACAAGTCTTAAACTAAATAATAATAACAATAATATTAATACTAGCAATACTAATAGAAGTAACCATAATAGTAACAGGATGTAGATTCGAGAGAGTATATTTGTAGGTAATTGTCTGACCTATTCAGGTGGAGAAACAAACATAACTAGTTTAAAATACCTCAGTCATTATTAAGCTACGATTCACTGTATATCAAATCGGTGAGAAAGTTTCGCTCAAATTGTTAAGAAGTCGTCGGACGAAAATATGAATGTGACTCACATTTCCCCTCTCGACTGCAGTCTCGATTCGCCTTCATTTGTACTGGTAACATGAAGAGTGCGTTTGAAAACATTATTTTCTTTGATGAATTTACTATGTTGACTAAGATGTAATAACACAATGGAGTAATGTGGTTTTGAGGGTAAATGAGGTCCTATGCCTAAGTGAAGTGTGGAAGGACGTAGGTGAAAAGGGAGAACACGTTCCGTTTCACATGCACAACCGGTGACGACGAACTCTGCGTAATGTGGTGAGTATTCTTGGAACGCCTGCTTCCGAGCAGTTGAATACTGTTCGACAATAGCGTTCCTACATGAAATTCACATTGTATGAATATGCGTGTGGTACACTTTGTTTTGTTTCGCTTTGTTTTGTTTTGTTTGTGATTTTGTAACGTGTGTACATGGTGAAGAGGATATTGTGGGTTGGACCAGGTAATCACGACACTTCCTGTAATAGTTGTGCACTAATCATCGACACTAATACTGAGTGTGAATTATTCGCGTAGATCGTGTGGTCTATGGGGAATATTGATGATGATATGAAAGGTTTAATAGTTAATTGTTCGACATGCCAGTTATTTGACGATTTTGCTTATCTGGACGACGTCGTGGAGGACTTGTGTGTTGTAGATTCGCTTAGTGTGGGTTTGAGACTTAGCAGTGTTATTTAGAGTGATTAGCGTGTGTATTAAACCGCGTGACTGACCGACTGCGTGTGTGTGTGTGTGTGTGTGTGTTCGTGTGTACGTGAGGGTTGTAGACAGTGAGTTTGCTGAAGCTGGTTATTTCTGTAAGCGACTGTAGAAGAGATCTGTGTTGAAAATCGATGCTGGTGTCTAGGTGCTGAGATTCATCTCGGTATGGATAGCACTTACTTATGTTTCGATGCATGATATTGCCATTAGGACACCTGACGGGAAGGCCATCATGAATATCAGACTGACATTTACTACGATATTTTCCTACATTCCGTATTTGTCTTCCTCATAATGGCGTTGAGTAGCGACAGATTACACCAGAGGTGAAGCTGGTAGTGAGATGTGTTTAAGTGGTGCACAAATCATAAACTGATTAACAACAATCACAATAATAATAATAATGTTGACTATGATAACAGGATGTAGATTCGAGAGAGTATATTTGTAGGTAATTGTCTGACCTATTCAGGTGGAGAAACAAACATTACTAGTTTAAAATACCTCAGTCATTATTAAGCTACGATTCACTGTTTATCAAATTGGTGAGAAAGTTTCGCTCAAATTGTTAAGAAGTCGTCGGACGAAAATATGAATGTGACTCACATTTCCCCTCTCGACTGCAGTCTCGATTCGCCTTCATTTGTACTGGTAACATGAAGAGTGCGTTTGAAAACATTATTTTCTTTGATGAATTTACTATGTTGACTAAGATGTAATAACACAATGGAGTAATGTGGTTTTGAGGGTAAATGAGGTCCTATGCCTAAGTGAAGTGTGGAAGGACGTAGGTGAAAAGGGAGAACACGTTCCGTTTCACATGCACAACCGGTGACGACGAACTCTGCGTAATGTGGTGAGTATTCTTGGAACGCCTGCTTCCGAGCAGTTGAATACTGTTCGACAATAGCGTTCCTACATGAAATTCACATTGTATGAATATGCGTGTGGTACACTTTGTTTTGTTTTGTTTGTGATTTTGTAACGTGTGTACATGGTGAAGAGGATATTGTGGGTTGGACCAGGTAATCACGACACTTCCTGTAATAGTTGTGCACTAATCATCGACACTAATACTGAGTGTGAATTATTCGCGTAGATCGTGTGGTCTATGGGGAATATTGATGATGATATGAAAGGTTTAATAGTTAATTGTTCGACATGCCAGTTATTTGACGATTTTGCTTATCTGGACGACGTCGTGGAGGACTTGTGTGTTGTAGATTCGCTTAGTGTGGGTTTGAGACTTAGCAGTGTTATTTAGAGTGATTA